CCATATACCAACTTCGTGAACTAAAATCACATTAATTAGAGAAGAACCATTTGCATTTTTTATACTAGTTTAAAGTATATGAGTTGTACACAACCTGTCTAATTGTCTTAGATAATACACGCCACCATCATTACCCGACCATATTCCGGTTAAACTGATATCAGAATGGTTATCGATAATTGTATTAATCGTTGTTGTCGACCACTAATCATCATTGCTTTTAATTGTTAACAGTTCAATACTATCTTTTAATTTCTGAATTTGATTTGACCATTGTTCAAGATCTTGTTCTAAATAAGTTTTTGTTGTTTTTTTCTCGCGAATATCATTTGTTGTATGTTTAAGTTTTTCATGCGTTTTATTAAATATATCTTGAACATTTTGTTTCAATATTTCAGATATTTTTTATTTTATCGATACTATTTTGTTTCCATTCATCAATGTCATTATAAATACGATGTCGATCATTATCGTTCGCATGAGTCGTTAATCTATCAAGTAAAATATCATGATCGCTGATAATACGCTCTAACTTTGTTCCAAGATTCTGTCGATGTTCAATATAATGTTCTTCACAATAAATTCCTTTACAACCATTGCAAATGGTTGGACCATGTAAACATAATTTACATGATAATGTTGACATGTTCTTTTTATCCATAAAAATTTGAAAAAAGAATAATAAAGAGAAAAAATTATGATTGCTTTCACATCGAGGCAAAAGAAAATATACTTGACAATAGACAACATACAAAGAAAACAACGACCGTTCTCACGACGACCGTCGACTGTGCTAATTTTGAAACGCAGCAACCGACGGTTTTTGTAAAAATGTTTTTGACGACTGTTGACTTGTGGAGTAAATACGTAAAAAAACAGAAAATTATATCCCTCCCTAATGCTTGCGGTACGCGAATCTAAGGACAATACTGAATACATATAAGGACGAGGTGGGATTTAACCCGTTAAGAGATATTGAAAGCTACTGTTATCATTATGCCTGGAATTGCTTCAAACCTCAGGACATTGAAGGACTTTTTCAACTTCCCTTGACTTTAGTATAGGATCTTACAAAATACTTGTCTGTGTGTGTCTGCGCAAAATATGGAAAAATGGCTGTCAGATATTTCGTGGATATGCCAATCACAAGAGGGAAAAATGGAAAATTGAAAGAAATGGAAAGAAGGGATCGCATCAGGACTAATATAAGTCTTACGTAGTCGCGAGTTGGTGAATCGTGATTCATCTACGTTCGCAGTAAGAGTACGTGACTCATTTATTGTTAGTGGGCGAAAAGCATGAATAAACAGGAATCGCACAATAAAATATTTAAGAGTTAAGATTGACTTTTGTATGAGCGCGCGAAAATCGTGATCGCTAAAAACCGTGTCTTATTTTGCGAATCTTACAGCGAACGCATTACGCGATTTCGCCTCGAATTTCTAAAGAGATTCGCGGCGTAACATGTGATAAGAAAGTGGACTTGGGATGGCAAAAGATACATAGTCAATATTTTCTTCTATCTACACCCAAAAAACTAATAAGAAAGCGAGAAAGAGTGCACTGTTGAAGTTGAGTTGTATAAGTAACATATGACCGGAATGAGTTGATGAGAGATGTGACATTAAAGTGATTAGAACACTTCGATTACAATCGAAGTGTCCATTTAATAAAACGGTGCTCACGAAGTTTTGGTTAATGCCTAATGAGATCTATGTGGAAAGTAGCTACAGGCCGTGCTGTTACTGGTGGCGCCTACTATTATCACTTCTCGCGTAAATCTGACTAGGGATTAACCAAAACTTTGTAAGCACCGTTTTATTAAATGGACAATTCGATTTCAATATTCTCGAGCCCTAATATCACCCTTCCCGTCAACTCATTCCGACCATATGAGATTGAATCTAAAGTGTTTGAGAATGCTTTCGTTCCTTCGTATGAACTGTGAATGTGCAGTGATAAACTAGGCTGCTTGTTTGGTGAGAAGGCAGCTTGAAAACGCTATAGCTCATGACTCGTGAATTTGTATCTATTAACGACTAACGAAAGAATAAATCCCAAGAAATGTAATGGTAGAAATGTTTCCTTTCAAGTGATTTTTATTTCATCTGTGAAGATACCGCCAATTTTTAAAATTTCAAATGATTAACTTACTATTATAGGGTAAAATAGAGATGTATAAGCTGCATCGAGCTATATGTTTGTTAGGACTTGGCGCTGTATGGTTCTTGTAAACTAAAAAGTTTTGGTACTGGATATGTGTATGATGCCCATGTAATAATTAACATTTTTCTACGGCCTTCTACTTTTTCGAAAAACACATTTTATCATTGAATAGGCAAGATGATCGTTGATTTCTTTCAGTTTTGTCTGCATATTTTGTATTGGAAGTGGCAAAAAATACAAAATAAGCGGACAACCTTGAGGCTGAATATCCATTTTTTCTCAGTATTAACGCTGCCACACTCGCAAACCACTTCAACCATTCTTGCGTCAAGATATAGCTATACGTTTTGTCGAATAAATAAAGCCTACTGTGACTTTCTATAACTTTAAATACAAGAGAAATTCAAGGCCATTTTGTTAAAATCAAGTTTAGTTTTAAAAAATAGGCCTATAATTAAATAACTTGAAATTGCAGGTAAACTTGTATTTTAACCTAATGATTCAATTTAAATAGAATTTTTTCTGTCAAATGCGTTTCATGACAGATCGAATGTGTTATTTTAATAACTCAAATGTAAACATTATTGATTAAATCAACATAACTGTTTCTCTCTCCAATTCTGTTTCTTCCTTTCTCCAATTCTTCTTTCATTTTTGTATGTCTCTTTGTTAACTTTTCTACTCATCCGTTCATTAAGACTCTTTTGCAAATTGATACAATGTGATCCATTGGATCGCGATTTCGATCTGTATTAAGATTTTCTTTTTCAAATAAAGTTTATACCAACTATTATAGTCAAAATTGCGATTAATTGGCGACTTTATTGCTAA